ATAATGTCCTCCAAGTTCATCCACGTTATGCGGTGTTTTGCAGATTCTACATTATTCTTTAGCGTTGCATAGTATTCCATTGTGTGAATGTACCAAAGAAAACAAAACATTTTTATGACCATGAAATAACTATCACATATGACTACCTTTTTTTCTTTTTTAAAGGGTTCAAAGGGACAGGATCAAAATATCTTCTGCCTTTCTCATGCCCATCATCAGCATGATATGGTGTTTTCTCTCTTACTGAGCTTATTATATTCAATGATGCCCAATGACTTCCTTATTCTTTTTCCTTACATTTATTTAAAAATTCACATGAACATGTCATTTTCACGTATGTTATTTCATATGAGCATCATAGTGGTCATGAGGCTTAGATAACATCACATTTTGTAGCCCAAATAACTGAAACCAATTGCAAAGGACTTAGAGTAGGTAGCACAGCTAGGCTAGAAAGATATAAGTTTTTCTAATTCCTACTTTAGGATTATTTCACTACAGCATGGTCATACTTGGCTGTTGAACATTTACCTTGAGCAGTCAAACCATGAAAGACTGCTGTCTGTAACTATCATTGGTAGTTAACATAGCACATCTTTCCAGAAACCATTCTAGGTTATGCCTTACAACCAGTTCTTTATATAGTCCTTTGTCCAAAGTCAGGCACCTTTACATTGGGTCAAGATTTGGAGGAATCAGGTCCCATTTGCAGGATTGCCGTGTAATAACTACATGATTTTGCACCAGGTGTTTTACTTCCCTGTGCCTTAATTTCCTCATCTGTAAAATGAGGATGGTCTTGCCTGCTCTGCTGATTTTACAAGGTTGTTTCATTAACAGCTAATTACAAAATAATGTGCTTCTGGAGAGGATGGCAATACCTTTCTCAGTTTTCATCCATAAAGTCTACTGTAGTATCAGAAATGAAAGGTGTAAGACACGTTAAATAAAGAAGGAAGAAGAAATGAGATGAGATTTGAGAAAATGCTTTACAAAATGCAATCTGCTGTAGAAAACACAAGGTATGATGATTGTTATTGGTGATGATTCTGCCTTATCTGAAAGATTTATACTTCCTTCTTTGTTTTTTCTCGCAGGACCACTGAGGTTCCTTTCTCAGACTGAATCTGTCACAGCCTTCATGGGAGACACGGTGCTACTCAAGTGTGAAGTCATTGGGGAGCCCATGCCAACCATACACTGGCAGAAGAACCAACAAGACCTCACTCCATCCCCCGGCGACTCCCGTGTGGTGGTTCTGCCCTCTGGAGCATTGCAGATCAGCAGGCTGCAGCTGGGGGACATTGGGATCTATCGCTGCTTAGCACGAAATCCAGCCAGCTCAAGAACAGGCAACGAGGCAGAAGTCCGAATTCTATCAGGTACTGCTCTGCTCTCATTCTCTTCAAAATGACATTCTCTGGAATAGTTCAAACAATAATTTTTCTTTAACTACCATTAGTAATTATTGTAAGTTCTCTATGGTGTTTTGGCTTCTGTTGTATGTGTGTGTGTGTGTGTGTGTATTATATATATATAAACATATACATAATTTTTTCCTTTCTTGCTAACTTGTTAGATAAGGGTATGACTAAAGCTTTTCTCATTTTGCTATCTCTTCTCGTTGAAGTTTCTGGAGACACAAATATCATTTCTTATGTTTGGTTTATTCCTTCATTCATTCACTCATCCTACTTATATTAAATGTGTGTTTTTGTGTATGTGTGTACAAGGCCCATTGCTAAACACTTCTAATGCATTATTTTCTGCTGAAAATAGTCTGTTGTTGTTATGTGCCGTCGAGTCAGACCCAACTCATAGCGACCCCTCCTTGGGTTTCCTAGGCAGTATCGCTACGGAAGTAAATTGCCCCATCTTCCTTCCGAGGAGTGGCTGGTGGGTTTCAATAGCTAGCCTTCTGGTTAGCAGTCAAGTGCCTTAGGCACTATGCTACCAGAGCTCTGAAAATAGTCTAAGAAGTAATTATTATTATCTCCATTTTCAAAGGATAAAATGAATGCTTAGAAAGGTTAATATCCTTCCCCAAGTTAATACTGAACAATCATTTACTTGTCCATTCACTTACTACTTTCTGCTAAGCATTGTGCTAAATACTATGGATACAGCAGTGACCAAGCCTCACACAGCACCTGGCCTTGTAGAGCTCTGGGTGAACATGGACATATAAGCAGTTACCAGGAAGTGTAATTAATATTACAGTAAGGATATTTCTTTTTCTCCATCTCTTATCTCCCTTTCTCTTCTCTGGCAAATCATTAGAACTCTGGGCTCACTTTCTATCCTAAGTGATGTAGCAATTGGATTGGATGCAATCTCAGATCTCTTTTCTTCCAGTAACTGCTATTGTCTTACACCTACCATCTACTATCTGATATCTATGTTTATGTTTAAATCTACTTTGTTATTTTGTCTCACTTGTGACACTTAGTTAGGTTATGAGGATTACAATAAAGCACATACTTGAGTAACTGTGACTGACACCCTGTCAAAGCACTGGTGTTGGACCCTGTCTCTGCTCTCAGCTGTGTGTAGTTATCACAAGAACTTGAGTTACCCAGAAGGCAACATCCCTCACTCATTCCAAAAGCAAATTGGCATTTTGATTGCAAGTTTTCAAACACATTAGTAAGAGCATCTCTAGGACCTCTTATAACTCTTTTGCTTATTCTCATGCCTTAGTCATGGGAAGGCTGAATCAAATGAATGAATAACCACCTGCAACTCTGTTGCATTCCAGGCATCAGACAGTGACAGATGGAACTATAGCATCAATTCAGGACACACTGGTGCATTTATTTAGATATCCATCACATATACAAAACCATAAATATTTATATTTACATTTCCTTAATAATGCATCTGATCTAATATGCTGGCAATGACAAATTGAAGAGGAATGGCGTGGCATTCATTGTCACAAGAAATGTTTCAATCTATCCTGAATTACAATGCTGTTGGTGATAGGATAATATTCATTTGCCTACAAGGAAGACCACTTAATACTACCATTATTCAAATTTATGCACTAACCACCAAAGCCAAAGAGGAGGAAATTGAAGATGTCTACCAACTTCTACAGTCTGAAATTGACCAAACATGTAATGGAGATGTGTTGATTATTACTGGAGATTGGAATGCAAAAGTTGGAAACAAGGAAGAATCACCAGTAGTTGGGAAATATGGCCTTGGTGATAAAAATGACACTGGAACTCGCATGACAGAATTTTGCAAAACCAATGACTTATTCACTGCAAATGCCTGTTTTCAACAACATAAACAGTGGCTATACACAGGGACCTCACTAAATGGAATACACAGGAATCAGATCTACTACAACTGTAGATAACATTGAGAAGAATGGGAATCCCTGAGCACTTGATTGTACTCATGAGGAATCTGTACCTTGACCAGGAGGCTGTCGTTCGAACAGAACAAGGGGACACTACATGGTTTAAAATCAAGAAGGGAGTGCATCAGGGTTGTATTCTTTCTCCACACTTATTCAATCTATATGCTGAGCAAATAATCCGAGAAGCTGGACTATATGAAGAAAAACGTGGTATCAGGATTGGAGGAAGAATCATTAACAACCTGAGATATGCAGACGATACAACTTTGCTTGCTGAAAGTGAGGATGACTTAAGGCACCTACTGATGAAGGTTGAAGAATACAGTCTGCAGTATGGATTATGTCTCAATTTAAAGAAAACAAAAATCCTCACAACTGGACCAATGAGCAGCATCACAATCAATGGAGAGAAGATTGAGGTTGTCAAGGAATTCACATTGCTTGGTTCTACAATCGATGCCAACGGAAGCAGCAGTCAGGACATTAGACGACATGTAGCATTGGGAAAGTCAACTGCGAAGGAACTGTTTCAAGTGCTGAGGAGCAAGGATATCTCCTTGAGGACTAAGGTGTGCCTGACACAAGCCATGATATTTCCAATCACCTTGTATGCATGTGAGAGCTGGACAATGAATAGGGAAGACCGAAGAAGAGTTGATGCTTTTGAGTTGTGGTGCTGGCGAAGAATGCTGAAAGTACCATGGACTGCTAAAAGAACTAACAGATCTGTCCTGGAGGAAGTGCAGCCAGAATGCTCCTTTGAAGTGAGAATGGCCAGACTTCGCCTCACCTATTTTGGTCATGTTGTAAGAAGGGACCATTCCCTGGAGAAGGATGTCATGCTTGGTAGGGTGGAGGGTCGACGAAAGAGGGGGAGGCCTTCAACGAGATGGATTGATACAGTGGCTGCGATGATGGGCTCGAGTATAGCAGGGATTGTGGGGCTGGTGCGGGATCGGGCAGTGTTTCGTTCTGCTGTGCATGGGGTCGCTATGAGTCGGAAACGACTCGACGGCACTTAACAACAACAACAACAACAACTGTAGAATGAGGTGATGGAAAAGCTCAATATCATCAGCTAAAACAAGGCCAGGAGCTGACTGTGGAACAGACCATCAACTGCTCATATGCAAGTACAAGTTGAAGCTGAAGACAATTAAAACAAGTGCATGAAAGCCAAAATATGATCCAGATTACATCCCACCTGAATATAGAGACCATCTGAAGAATAGGTTTGATAGATTGAACACCAATGACCAAAAACCAGAAGAACTGTGGGATGACATAAAGAACACCATACACGAAGAAAGAAAACTTCATTAAAAAGACAGGAAAAGAAGAAAAGACCAAAATGGATGTCAGAGAAGACTCTGAAACTTGCTCTTGAATGAAGAGTAGTTAAAGCAAATGACAAGATAAAAGGGCTGAACAGAAGATTTCAAAGAGCAACTTGAGAAAACAAAGTCAATTATTATATTGAAATGTGCAAAGACCTGCAGTTAGAAACACACAATGGAAGAAGACACTCAGTATTTCTCAAGCTGAAAGAACTGAAGAAAAAAACTCAAGCCTTGACCTACAATACCAAAAATTCTAAGGGCAAAATCCTGAATGATACAGGAAACATCAAAAGAAGATGGAAGGAATAGAGAGTCAAGGTACCAAAAAGAATTGATTGATGTTCATGTTTCAGGAGGTGGCATATGATCAAGAACCAATGGTACTGAAAGAAGAAGTAGAAGCTGCCCTGAAGGAATTGGTGAAAAACAAGGCTCCAGGCATTGATGGAATACCCATCGAAATGTTTCAACAAACACTGCTTCGCTGGAGGCACCTACTTATCTATGCTAAGTAATTTGGAAGACAGGCACCTGGCCAATAGACTGGAAGAGATTCATATTTATACCCATCCCAAAGAAAGGTGATCCAACAGAATGTAAAAATTATCGAACAATATCATTAATATCACACACAAGTAAAATTTTGCTGACGATAATTAAAAAAAAATGATTGCAGCAGTATATTGCCAAGGAACTTCCAGAAATGCAAGCTAGAGCCAGAAGAGGATGTGGAATGAGGGATATCATTGCTGATGTCAGAAGGATCTTAGCTGAAAGTAGAGAATTCAAGAAAGATGTTTACCTGTGTTTTATTGACTATACAAAAGCATTTGACTGTGTGGATCATAACAAATTTTGGATAACATTAAGAAAAATGGGAATTCCAGAACACTTAATTGCACTCATGAGGAACCTGTACATAGACCAGGAGGCTGTTGTGTGAACAAAACAAGGGGATAGTGAATGGTTTTATATCAGGAAGGATGTCAGGGTTGTGTCCTTTCACCGTTCTTGTTCAATATGTATGCTGAGCAAATAATCCAAGAAGCTGGACTATATAAAGAAAAACATGGCATCAAGATTGGAGGAAGACTCATTGACAACCTGCGATATACACATGATACAACTTTGCTTGCTGAAAGTGAAGATGACTTGAAGAACTTTCTGATGAAGATTGAAGACTGCAGTCTGCAGTATGGATTGTACTTCAATGTAAAGAAAATGAAAATCCTCAAAACTAGACCAATAAGCAGCATCACGATAAATGGAGAAAAGATTGAAGTTGTCAAGGATTTCTATTACTTGGTTCTACAATCAACACCAATGGAAGCAGCAGTCAAGACATCAGACAATGTATTGCATTGGGAAAATCTCTTTCAAGTGATGAGAAGCAAAGATGTCTCCTTCAAGACTAAGGTGTGCCTAACCCAAGCCATGGTATTTTCAGTAGCCTTATATGCATGTGAAAGCTGGACAATAGGTAAGGAAGACCAAAGAAGAGCTGATGTTTTTGAGTTGTGGTGTTGATAAAGAATACTGAAAGTACCATGGACTGCTGAAAGAACTAGCAGATCTGTCCTGCAAGAAGTGTAGCCAGAATGCTCCTTGGAAGCGAGAATGGCCAGACTTCATCTTACCTACTTTGGTCATGTTGTCAGAAGGGACCATTCTCTGGAGAAGCATATCATTCTTGATAAAGTGGAAGGTCAGCGAAAAAGGGGAAGGCCCTTGACAGGATGGAGTGGCACAGTGGCTGCAACGATGGGCTCAGGTACAGCAAGGATTGTGAGGTTGGCACAGGATCTGGCAGTGTTTCCTTTTGTTGTACATAAGGTCACTATGAGTCAGAGCTGACTCGATGGCACCTAACGAGAAAAACAAATAATGTATCTGAGGAGTCAACCAGAGGAAAGCTTGTTGTTGTTGTTGTTAAGTGCCGTCGAGTCGTTTCTGA